GTGACTTTGAAAAGCTACGTATTTGTAGATTTCTGAATAAGTGGGAGGCTGGTATGTCATAATCTCTAGTTAAAGCTTCAAATGATTTGAATGTATCATTTGCAAAGAGTTTGTGAAAGAACTTCAAACCTTTGTTGTGCCAGCCTTGAAATGCCTTGTCTGTCACAGATGGCACAAAGAGAGGGTTAGACGATATGGGAAAATGCTTGCCCACCTGCCGGAGAGAGAAATGTTGTCTAAATTGAAACCAAATTTTAAGAGAAGAAGAAACAATTGGATGAGTTATTGGTCGCCTTTTGTCATGGGGCAACGGGGAAGTTAGCCATGGTATTGGATTGGTCATCAGCTCCATTTGTGCCCATATTTCACCTTCGTTGTTTTCATATAAATGTTTCCAGTGTAGTATTTTAACAATATTTGCTGCCCAATAATAAAAGAGAAAATTAGGCAGACCAAGTCCACCAGCCTCTTTTGGCACCTCTAGATAAGTCTTTTTCATTCGAGGGTTTAAGTTATTCCATATAAAGGAAGCTATTAAAATGTCTAGTTTCTTGAAAATTGACTTTGTGAGGAAGATAGGAATCATTTGAAATATGTACAGGAATTTCGGCAAGATGGCCATTTTAACAATATTGATTCTGCCTGTCAATGAGACTGGTAGTGTTGACCACTTTTTAAAATCATGTGAAATTTGGTCTAACAATATGTCAAAATTACAAGCACGTAATTCTTGCATTGTGCGAGTGACATTAATACCCAAATATTTAAATGAGTCTTTCTCCACCTTGAAGGGATAGACAGAAAAATCTTCATCAATGTTGCTAATTGGGAACAGCAAGCTCTTTGAATAGTTTAATTTGTATCCTGATAAACTGCCAAACTGATTAAGTACTTCGAGCAGCCTAGGTATGGACACAGAGGGATTGGAAACATACAGCAGTAAATCGTCCGCATAAAGGGAAACTTTATGAGTGACTCCTCCTCGAGAAATTCCAGCAATCCGGTTGTCCCCTCTGAGGGCTATTGCCAATGGTTCAATTGCCAAGTCAAAAAGATACGGGGACAGGCTACAGCCCTGTCTACATCCTCTATATAATCTAAAAAAGTCTGATGTTACATTATTTGTCCGTACTGCAGCCACCGGGGAGTGGCTGCAGTACGGACCCTGCTAAAAAGGCCCCTGCTAAAAAAGAGCAGTCTGGATGCCACTGTACTTAACAACTATCGTCCCATCTCAAATCTGCCATTTATGGGGAAAGTCCTTGAGAAAGTTGTCTACCTACAGCTTACTAGATTTCTTATAATCAACAACTCATTTGATATGTTTCAGTCCGGCTTTAGACCCCACCACAGCACTGAGACGGCTCTCGTTAAGGTTACAAACGATATCCGGCTGAACACTGACGCAGGCAAAGTCTCAATCTTAATCTTGTTAGATCTAAGTGCTGCCTTTGACACCGTCGACCATGAGATCCTCTTACAGAGACTAGAGGACTGGGTTGGCGTCACTGGCACCGCCCTAAGTTGGTTTAGGTCTTACCTTGAAGACAGGAAGTACTTTGTGGAGATTGGAAACTGTGTCTCAGATCATATGGCCCTGACCTGTGGAGTCCCACAGGGGTCGATCCTGGGACCTCTTCTGTTCAATCTCTACATGCTGCCGTTAGGTCAGTTAATACGCAGAAACAAAGTTTCCTATCATAACTATGCAGACGACACTCAGATCTATGTCTCACTGACTGCAGGAGAACATGGACCAGTGGACTCACTCCTTCACTGTATCCAACAGATCAGTGAGTGGATGCAAAACAACTTCCTTCAGCTAAACGCAGACAAAACTGAAATGATTGTCTTTGGTCCCCAGAAACAAAGAGAGAGCGTCATCTGTCACCTACAGTCTCTCTCCCTAAAACCTTCAAACAAGGTCAGAAATCTAGGGGTAATACTGGACTCAGACTTAAATTTTAATAGCCACATCAAATCAGTAACATCAGCAGCTTTTTACCATCTAAAAAACATTGCCAGGATCAAAAACATAGTGTCTAAAGCAGACTTGGAGATTCTTATCCATGCATTTGTCTCCAGTAGGTTAGACTACTGCAATGGCCTGCTCACAGGTCTGTCCAAATAGGCTGTAAAACAGCTGCAGTACATTCAAAATGCAGCAGCTCGAGTCCTGACAAGAACCAGGAAGTACGACCACATTAGTCCAGTCCTCAGGTCTCTGCACTGGCTTCCTGTGGCTCAGAGAATAGACTTTAAAACAGCTCTGCTTGTGTACAAGTCTCTCCATAGCCTCGCACCAAAATATATTAGTGACATGTTAGTCCCATATGAACCAGCCCGGACTCTGAGGAGCACAGGGACTGGACTCCTGTTAGTGCCCAGAGTCAGAACTAAACATGGGGAGGCTGCTTTTCAGATTAATGCTGCTAAAATCTGGAACAGTCTTCCTGAAGATGTGAGACAGGCCTCCTCTCTGACAATGTTTAAAACCAGGTTAAAGACAGTTCTGTTTAACTGTGCATACAACTGAGGGATTTTATATTTTTATCTTTCTTTTTAATGTTCTGTGATAATTTATGATTTTAATGCTTTCTTGTTTTGTTCAGCACTTTGAATTGCCTTGTGTATGAATTGTGCTATATAAATAAACTTGCCTTGCCTTGCCTTGGTATAGAATTTTTATCCATTTTTGAAACTGAGGGCCAAATTCAAATTTCTTTAGAACAGCAAAAAGGTATTGCCATTCGACACGGTCGAAAGCTTTTTCAGCATCTAAAGAAATTATTATTTCCGTGTCTGACTTTTTCCCATCTTTTGGTGTGTATAGAATATTGAGCAGTCGACGCATATTATAATAAGATTGTCTTCCTGGTACAAAACCAGTTTGGTCGTTGTCAATAACATTTGCCAATATAGTATCAATTCTATTAGCTAATATTTTTGTGAGTATTTTGTAATCACAGTTTAAAAGGCTTATCGGTCGGTATGAACTACATTGTAAGGGATCTTTACCCTTTTTGTGTAAGACAGAAATTGTAGCCTGTGTCATAGTTAGTGGCAATTTCCCAGAAGTGAAGGTTTCATGATAGAGTGATTTAAGTATTGGTGCCAATTGATTTGAAAATGTTTTATAAAAATCTATTGGATAACCATCGGGCCCCGGCGCGCGATTACTTTGCATGGAATTTATTGCCTGAATAATTTCACTAGTTGTGATCTCGCTATCAATTTTAGATCGGTCTTCTGAATCTATTTGCGGTATGGGTAAGCTGTCAAGAAATTCTGCCAGCCGTTTATCATCAACTGGTTCTGAGGAATAGAGGTTAGAATAAAAATGTTTAAATTGATCGTTTATAACTTGAGGATCAGCTGTATTCTCATTGGAGGAGTCACAAATTTCAGATATTAAATTGGCTGTTTCAGATTTTTTAATTTGATGGGCAAGGAGTCTCCCGGCTTTGTCTCCATGCTCATAAAAATGTTGTCTAGATTTAAAGAACATCCTTTCGGTTTGTGCTGTAGACAAATTATCATATTCTGTTTTAAGTAATAATTTGGTTTTGTAGAGATCAGGGGTTGGGGCTTGTGCATACAGATCATCAGTATTTTTTATATTATCAGACAATTCGGCCATTTGCTGAGCATGCCTTCTTTTCTGATGCGCTGTATATGATATAATCTGCCCCCTAAGAAAAGCTTTCAATGTTTCCCAAATAACAGACATTGACATCCCTGGAGTTTGATTGGATTCCATAAAATAGTTAATTTGTTCAGAAATCAATTTCTGAAATGAATCTTTGGAGATATGCAATGGATCAAGACGCCACACCCGTTTTGGTTTAGAGAATTCTGGAAATGTTATATTCATTTTAACCGGGCTGTGATCAGAAATGACAATAGCTTCATATTGACAGTCTCCCACATTGGGAAGAATCCTGCCATCAACAATAAAAAAATTGATCCTCGAGTATGAATGATGCACAGGTGAAAAGAAGGAAAATTGTTTAGCATTTGGGTTTCTATGTCTCCAAGGATCAACAAGGGCATAAGATTCCATAAAATGTTGAATGACTGTTCCTGCTTTGGAAATTTTGCTATTAGGATTAGGATTAGAGCGGTCAAGAAGCTGTTGTGTAGAATTGAAGTCCCCGCCAATTATTAATTGATATTCTGTTGGATCTGGTAATTTACCAAAAAAAGAGGAATAGAAATCAGGGTCGTCCCAATTAGGACCATATACATTCGCCATAGTGATACGTTTTCCGAATAGGGTGCCCTGAACAACTACATATCTCCCTTTATTATCAGCAATGACTGATGATGGTATAAATGGGATTCCTTTTCTAATCAAAATGGCTGTACCTCTGGTTCTATCATCATGTCTTGAACAAAAAATCTGTCCAATCCATGGTTTTTTAAGTTTGACCTGTTCGTTAGCCCGGAGGTGCGTTTCTTGTAAATAAATCACATCAGGGGTAAAAGATTTTAGGTGTGTGAAGACCCTGGAACGTTTTATCGGGTTATTTATACCCTTGACATTCCAACTTAGAAAACAGAGGTTAACATTATTCTGTAAATCCACTGGTGAAATAGTCAGAATATGCTTGGATCAAAATCCCGTCACAAACACCCCAAATAAAAAATAAAAGGAGCCTCAAAAACCCATGCTGATCTACTAATAACCCTGAGATCGCATCCCGTAATACCAGTAAAACGTATAAACTTAGCATTAAACCTACTAACAGACTCCCCAACAGGGCAAAATGTGCAAATTAGCTTCACCATAAATGTGCTAATATGTAAAAATATGTAAATACCAAAAGCCATGAAAATGAATATAACAACATTTAAACAAATAACACTTCAACAAGTCCCACAATGAGTTCTACCTTCATTTCTGAATGCGGATTACGCAGGTCCCAACGGAGCATCAAAGGTCACCAAAAGTTCAGTCATGTCAAAGGACCAGAAGAAAACTATTCATTTGAACGTGTTCATGACTCTAGGTCCTTCTTAATATAGTCTACTGCTGCAGATGGATCCGTGAACCTCTTATCTTGTCCCGTTGCCGAGGTGATGCGCAGCACCGCAGGAAACAGCATCCCGAATCGAACTCCAGCACAGCCCCGTAGTAGTTGTTTCGCCTCCGAAAAAGCAGCCCTTTTCTTCACCACATCAGCAGTGTAATCAGGGAAGATGCTTATCCTTCTATCTTGCAGTGTTAGAGGCGAGGAGAGTGCAGCTTTACGAAAAACTTCATCTTTCTCTCGAAAGTAGTGAAACTTTACTACAATTACTCTGGGGGGGTCTCCGTCCGGGCGCCGTATGCCCCGCAAACGGTGGGCACGGTCTAGTAACGGGGTGAAACCCAGGTTCAAAACATCTTTCAACATTGTGGCAATAACATCAGCAGGTTTTCCGGTGCTCTCAAACCCCTCTTTCACTCCCACTATGCGGGCATTGCAGCGGCGTTGTCGGCCCTCGAGGTCATCCAGCTTGCTAGTTAGCCTAGCCACTTCTAGCTTTAGCTGGCCGACATCACTTTCCAATTCCACCGTGCGATCCAAATACTCGTTCAAGCCGGACTCGACATCTTTCAGACGGGTTTCCTGCTTCACCATATCTTCCCTCAAAGTGTCAATCTTATTGTTCAAGTCGTTTGTCTTTGAGTCAATGCGGTCCAGAATCCTCTTTTCGGAGTTAGCAATAGCCTCCATGATGCCGCTAACTTCCGGCGACGGTGCACTCGGCTGCTTCTCTTCAATGGAGCCCGAGGCTTTTGGGGCCTGCTCCTTCGCTCTTCCTTTGCTCATTGTTTCTCTTGGTTAGGTGATGAATAAAGTGAAAACAAGGCACTAGCAAGTTTCATGAAAGTCTTGTTGTAGATCAGGGTCAATTTGTAGAAGCTTTGAAAAAGTTTTTAGGCAAAAGTTTTAGCCCTGCCGAGGAGCCTTAAAAAACACGTCTTTACATGGCTACGCTCACCAGCGCCCCCCACACAAACTCTACACAACTCTAACAAAACGCTAACACAACTCTAACACAAACTCTAAGCACACAGCGAAACAAACTCTAACACACACTCTAACACAAACGCTAACACAAGACTCTAACACACCATCTCTAACACAAACTCTAACACAAACTCTAACACTCACTCTAACACAACTCTAACAAACTCTAACACACACTCTAACACACACTCTAAAACAAACTCTAACACACACTCTAACACACCACTCTAAACACAAACTCTAACACACACTCTAACACACACTCTAACACACAATCTAACACACACTCTAACACACCACTCTAACACAAACTCTAATACACACTCTAACACAAACTCTTGGACACACACTCTAACACACACTCTAACACACACTCTAACACACACCTAACACAAACGCTAATACACATCTAACACACACTGCTAACACACACTCTAACACTCACTCGAACACAAAACGCTATACACCACGCTAACACAATCGCGGACACACACTCTGAACACAACTCTAAGATCACACTCTAACACAATACTTCTGACCACAATCTAACACACACCTACTCAATCCTGGGACACTCACGCATAACTCCCACACTACACACCACCTCGAAACACACTCTAAACAAAACGTCTAAGTACACTGTCTAAACACACAGTTCGAACACACCTCTAACACTCCTCTAACACTCACTCGAACACCAAACTCAGAACACACACGCTAACACACTCTCGAACACACACTCTAACACACACGCTAACACAAACGCTAAGACACATCTAACACACACTCTTAACCACACTCTGAACACACACGCTAACACAAACTAGGCAGAAACGTATAAGTGAAATCCATCTCACCCTCAAACACTTTTCTTTTCTTCTTCGATCACGAGTTTTCCTGTGTTTTAGTTTTAAATAAATACAATAAGTGAGAATAGCTTTATGTAGGGCACCAAGGAATAACTCCCAACGGATAACGTGCATAGACTCACAATATCATTAATTGGCTCATTTATTGATTAAGTAAGCTCATGAGTCCTATTCATTATTTAATTAGTCCATTATCTCTTCAATAGAATCTGTAGGTAGTGAATTCTTTTTTACAAATCATGACCCAATTTCTGAGTTAAAAGTACAAATATCACTTTCAGATCAAAGATGGTTGTGGTAGATTATAATGAAGTATACACAATACAGACTAGATATGAAATATGCAAATTGTCAAGAATAACATAGAAGGGAAAGTGGATTTCAAGATACATTATTAAAATGCTAGGCTAAAGTTGGCTACGCAAGAACATGTGTCTATGAATGGATTGGTATAGGCCTGAGGCCTGCATGTGTTCAGCCTTGGTAAGAAGTATTCTTTGAAGATAGGTTTTTAAATAAAGCCAACAGCTGGGTGTGTATCAAGAGAAGCAGAATCATAACAACCAGAATAGCCTTTGGTGAATGAGCAAGTCCCTTGGTATTGATGGTGTGGGATGGAGGCTTCTTGTCACGGGGCCTGACCATGCGCTGCATCATGTGGCTCGGAAACAAGGTCCTCCCACGAACACAGTCCCTAGGTGCCAAAACTCAGCACTTCTTCAGGTTGAACTGGAGGCAGGGAAGGGTGGTGGGGAAGTCCTCTCAAACGTGGGGCGGAGGGTTTGAGGCCATCTAAGAAGGCCCAAAGCCCCTTGGTTGCCTGACAGAGCCCAGGGAGGTCCTGGGCACCTCCGGGTTCCAAAGCATACTGGTTTTTCCTCCATTGGTCCCTTGTAAGTCTTCACACCTGTAGAGTCGTTGGGGAAGGGTGTTGCCATGGCACATTATCTAAACATCTTACCACAATAAAACCTGAACCACAAGGATTTAAACACAGTGGAGACAGAGTTAATAATATTCTTCAATAATACAACAAACTTCTTTGATTGAGGAACAGAGGTCATTTTAATTATCCTCCACCCCCCCCCCTTTGTGTCCAGCTCCGCAACTAGCGAGAGGTTTACACTACATAAGTTTGATTATGACCGATGACGAACGGTCACTGTCCAATTCTTGTACGGGCAGAGCTCTCGCAGTGGGGCTGGTGGAATGTTCTACTGGGGGGCTATGAATATGATGAACTAGAGATATACCCACAGCATGGTAGGATGCTTTCTGATCCCTACCCAGTAGCTTTCATCCAGCTGGGAATGGAATATTATCTTCCCAAACATAGCTAATTTGAGGCATTTTGCATGTGAATACCATCTGCTCAAGCATATTTGCCTTTTCTAAAAAGTGCTTCAGAATCAGCATACCTGTCTTGATCCATGCTGGGTCAGATCCGGAGGTATGAAACAAGAGGCAAGGGAAAGCAAAATAAGCTTAGCTCACGCTACATGCTGCTAGCCACGATTTGGCGCGGACCCAGGTCCTGGAAAAAGTACGCGTTAACCGTCTCCCCTTCGCGGACTGCTGACTAAGGGTAATCATTGGCTGATCAGTCCAAGCTCTTTACCTCAACCATCTCTGGTATGATCTTCTCTCAAACGGTATTGTTTTGAGTGATCTAACTGAATTATTCTTTTTCTCGTTCTCCATTTTGCGTCCATCTTTACGTTCCGTCTCAAACTCCCACAGCTTGACCTTCAATCACTGTAAACGGACGTCACAGAACAGGACAGTACGAGGTCCGGGCGAGCCCCACCCTCAGGGGCACTCTCCTGCGCCCCCAAATCGCTATCCTTGCATTGAAGAGGAGCTACTGCGCATGTCCACTTTTAACGAAGTCCATAACGGCTCAGGCGCAATCTTTTGCGCCCTGAGCGGAAATACGTCCCTCAGTCCGACACAGAACAACGTTGATGAGCTTAAATCAAATCCAACTCAGCATAAAACAATAACGTATTTCTTCCACAACTGAAATATAAACACACATAAATTTCGAAATATTTTAATGTTATTATTTGTTTTTAACGTTTTATCCAAGGTAACATGGCAAGTTTGTAGTGTGGGGCGGTGCCCCTAGCGCCCTCTATTGGCCCCGCCGCCACAGGCCTCTCAGTAGGAGCGAGTTCCTTCATTAATTTCGCCTACAGTTTATTATGAAACAAAAGTTGAACAAGATTTGCCATGATACAAAACAAACTGATCTGTTATAAAAATCACGCCAGTCAAGATACTTTTCAGCGTAGGATGGACAATGCTAACCTGCACGCTCATATGCCCCCATAGGAGTGGCTCATGGATGAAGTTTTGGCTCCAACGCTCTCTGGCTCCTACTGTGTTAAGCCCTATTCGCATAGGATTATATCTCGGTAATTAGACAATCTCGAATGCGCCATGTCTTAATTTGTAAAGTAATAATTCAGCTGCAAATTACCTCCCTGTATTTTTCACAGACGGCCCATTTTGAGGTGTTGTGATATTACTACGCCAGTAAGAATCGCATGTCATGATTGTGATCGCTATTTGCCAACGAGGTGTGCGTGAACATAAGTCATTTTACAGACATTTGATACTTATTCAAAGGGTGAACGCGGCTGCCAATATCACAGAGGAGGGGCGGTAATTTGACAACGACCACAGGTTAACTAATCCTAGCAAATAAGGATTTACATAAAATCCTCATCTCTGTAAACATTTGTTGTCACAATCACCTTTTTTTGGATTAAGAATCTGTGTTACGCTCCCTGTGTTTATAATTTGTCTTTGTGAAATCCGAAAAAAAAAAAAAAAAAAAAAAAAAAAAATCTGAGCAATATAAGATATGGCTACAAACTGTGGGGGAAACTCCAGCTTGCCATAGCAACCGTACTTAGCGACACGTCTGCCAGTGTTACGGCGCTAAGCATGGACGTCGAAACCAATGCCCATAATAAGAAAATGCTCCAGCAGCTTATCTTCAAATCGCCCTCCTCCACCTTCGGCTAAACAACGTCCAAACTATGGTTCCCTGGAGCAACTGCGGCCCTCTATGCATGTTTGTGTGGTCCTCTTTCTTGCACACTAGCCATTTAGATAAAAAACTTCACAGTGTCATCCAGCCAACTTCCAGCTCAAGTCCTTATCAGATTTTTTTTAAACAAGGACATTTCTGTGAACTAAAGAGACCTCATATATAACATTGTTTCCATCGCGGGGCTGACACTATGGTGATGACACTCACGCTTCTGTCATTGTTGCTACATGAGAATACTGCATGTTAAGAATGTTGGTGAGGTTTAAAGTGCATTTAACACACTTTTTGATTACACAATAACTCAATAATTGGTGTTTGAGGAAAGGCCTACAGACTTAGTGCTGACCAGTGTGATTTTTAATTATTCCCACCTTATTCATCCAGTTTAAAAGTGCTTGAAAAAAGTTTTGTTGTTGTATGCTTACACTGAAATATGTTGAGAGGAATATTGGTATAAAAGTAAGCAGAGGATGTGTGGAGGACAGATACAAGGGTGACCAAGCAAAAAAAAGTTAGTAAAGTAATAATAATCATAAGAAAACACATTTTATTTAGGTCCCCCGCGGAAGACCTAGGACACGCTGGAGAACTATGTCCCTCTCAGCTGGCCTGGGAACGCCTTGGGTCCCCCGGATGACTGGAGGGAGTGTGTGTGAATAGGGAAGTCTGGGTGTCTCTGCTTAGACTGCTGTCCCCCCGCGACCCTCAACGGGATAAAGCGAAAGAAAATGGATGAATGGAAATGGATAGCATTTTATTTATAATGCACTTTACATTTGACACCTAATCTCAAGTGCGCCAAACAGCAGCATAAATAAAGCAAACACATACATCAGGATAAAAGACAACACAAACAAAAATTAGCAGTA